TAGTTGATAGATAGATAGATGGATGCATGGATGGATGGATAGATAGATGATAGATGATAGAGAGATAGAGATAGATAGAGATAGATAGATAGATAGATAGATAGATAGATAGATAGATAGAGGTAGATAGTTGATAGATAGATAGATGGATGCATGGATGGATGGATAGATAGATGATAAATGCATGGATAGATAGATAGAAAGAAAGAAAGAAAAGGTACGTACATAGGTACTTGATAGATAGATGATAGATAGATGATAGATAGATGATAGATAGATAGATAGATAGATAGATAGATAGATAGATAGATAGATAGATAGATATTGAGATATCCAATTCATAGGGGCCAGCCATCCACTGGAGTGAAGTGGACCTACAAGGGATCACAACCTCAAAGAAAACCGACTCTCCCTCCCACAGAAGCCATCAAATGTTGCCTTCTCCTCAGTTGTGGGGTGGAGTGAGGTATACCCAAGAGAACCTTAAATATTAAGATCCTTATAGTTAGCTGGGTATCGTGCACACACCTTTAGTCCCAGCACTTGGGAGGCAGAAGCAGGTGGATCTCTATGAGATGGAGGCCAGTCTGGTCTACATAGCAAGTTCCAGGACAGCTGGGGCTACAGGGAGACCCTGTGTCAAAGAACAAAAAAGATCCTTAGGATGCAAAGATACTCCAAATTCTTCCCCTCCCTGTGCCCTGCTCTGATACTCCAAATTCTTCCCCTCCCTGTGCCCTGCTCTCTAATGTGACTGTGCAGCTTCTTCTAGCAAGAAGTGGAGTCTAATTGCTTCTCAGTCTTTTCACTAAGAGCAAGTGAAGAAATGGTCTCCATTCCTTGACTCCTCTCTATTTGTATATTGCTTCTGTTTATAAACAAGGATGGAGTGATGATGCGTCAACTATAAGCTTAGGCTTGAGAGGCCATGCACACTTCCATTCACTCTTTCTTCTTTCTATTTTGACAAGATTCCATGTAGCTCAAGCTGGAACTCATTATGCAGCTATGGATAAACTCATGATCCTCTTGCCTCTACCTCCCAAGTGCTGGAATTTCAGGCATGTGCCACCATGCCCAGTTTATGTGGTGCTAGGGTCCAAACCCAGGACTTTGTGCATGCTAGGCAAACACTCTATCAGCATAGCTCCAAACCCAGCACATACACTTTCCCTTGACTTCTGCCATTGCCATGAGAACACGCCCAGCTAGCCTGGGGGAAGATGAGGGACAAGGGTCAGGCCCAACTCAGGTCATCCCAAAGCAACCAGTTTTCAAACTCTCCATCAGCAGGCCCTCATCACATGAGCAGGCACAGTGGAGATCAGCAAAGAACAACTCAGATCTGCAAATCTCTCAGCCACCTCAAACACATGGGAAAAAATAATAAACTCTGGTTGTTTACAGTCACTGGGTTTGAGGTATCTTGTTGTCTTGTTTCATTGATAAGACAAACCCTAACATGACCAGTCCTTTGCTCCCCCATGACTTGGGTGTCATGACAGGGCTCTGCAAGTCTTAACACACACTACCTATGGAACACAGTGTCTTGGCCACTGCAGATCAATAGCCTGGCATGGAGGTGATCAAAGTCATTGTGATGTAGCCCAGAGAGAAAGATTAGGTTTCCGAGGCAGCAAGACTAAAAGCCAGACCTTGGATGGGAGAAATGCACAGAAGTAAATATTCCCTTCTGAGATGATTTGGGTGATGGCCAGGCAGTTACCCTGACCTTGGCCCAGGCTCTCCTCATCCTATTTCACAGATGCTTTGACAAGATTCTCCGTCATCAAGCCCTATTTCTGCACATAGAGCACACTGCAGTATCCTTACTTCACCGAGCAGAGCCAATAGAACCCTCAGATCCCTAAACACTGCTCTCTCCAGGGGAATGGATGTCTCTAAAGGGCTGAACAGCAAGCTGCAATCTTTCTATTCAACCTTTGGATGGAAGCCCCAAATAAATTCACCCTCAGCTTTATGTAAATGCATTCCATGGTGACTGAAGGTCAGTATATTTCCAGATGAGTCCAACACCTTTCTATAACTACAGAAACTCTTGTCAAAGAGAAAGGAATAATAGCAAGGACAACACCTGCTGGACTGTTTGCCAAAGATTACCCTTTCTTTTATTGGGAAAAAGCAAGAGAAGGGCAAACAAAGCCTTCACTCTGAATGAAAGAAATCTGAACCATTGTACCATCTCCCCGGTCCTATTGCCTTACAAAGATATATGCCTCCAGCTTGCTACTTTGAGTCATGCTGTGGGTGACTCAGGTACCTGTATCTATCAAATAACCTTCTAAACATGGAGCTTAGGATCTCAGCCAATTCCTCAAACAAGAATTCAGCACCATATCTTAGTGACACATATGTAAACATAAACAGAAGAAGCAAGACCACAGTAGTCTTGTCCTGTTACCTTCTGATGTGTTTCTACCACCCTCCCCCTCACTCACACAGCTCAGCCTCCTGGGTCTCCCTCTGGTTCTCTTAAAAACATACTTGTCTTTGTCTCCAGCTTTTACAAGTGCCATTACCCTACCCAGACTGTTTGATTTCCTCCCTTACTTTTTCCAGGTCTGGTCAGATGCCCCTATCAGCAAAGCCCTCTTTGACCAAACTGCTGAACAACAAACAAATAAATAAATAAACACCAAACCCACTCCACTCCCTGACAGCACTTCCCACTACTCTTACTCTGATTTAGTTTTCACCATCACAATGTCTCCTTGGCCAATACACTATATAGTTGCTTATTTACATACACATTTTCACACACATGCACACACGCACACACACACACACACACTTTGTCCAACTCTGTATTCTCTATGTAGAGGAACTCAATGAACAAAATTCCATTTCTTAAGCAGTAACTTTGTTCCAGACAATTCATATACGACAACTGCTTAACAATAAACAAATATTTTAGGGGCTGGAGAGATGGCTCAGCAGTTAAGAACACTAGCTGTTCTTGCAGAAGACCGGGGTTCGAATCCCAGCACTCACATGGCAGCTAACAACTGTCTGTAACTCCAGTTCCAGGGGATTCTGACCTCCTTGGACATTGCACGACATGGGTGCACCTATCTACATGCAGGCAATACATGCATACACATAAAATAAAAATTAAAAAAAATGTTTTGAGTATATTACATAATTATTGTAACAGCTCTATTATTTCCATTTTATATATCAGGATATCACTGTTCAAAAAAAGACTAACTTGCCCAAGACCCACGCCAGCTCTTTGAGCATCCAAGCCACACTCCCTGCAGTATGCCAGGCTATTTTGCAAACATCTTACTGATGGTTTAGATTACAAAGTGCATGTAACACACACCTCTGGCAATAGAAATCACCCAAGAGCATTTATCCTATCATTTTTCACTATCTATTACAGATTTTGTCCCAGAAGAATCCACTCTGAGGCTAGATTTTCCTTACCCCAAAGTGGATTGTGGGTAACAACTTCAGCTCTCCTTTATTCCACTATTTGGGGGCAAGCTGGACCTGAGTTATTCTTTTAACTGGACTTAGACATGGACAGGTCAGGGACGAAAAAGGAAGGCAGCAAAAGTTGATCTGCTGTGAAAAGCCCTTGGAATTTTCAAGAGTCTTTTTCTATCCTTCATAGTCCTGGAACTCAGGGGAAACACTTATTAAAAGACTAAAAGTCAAAAACCTGACCTGCATTGGGTGTGCTCTTCCCTCAGTGCAAGCAGAGTGCCTTCTTGGGTCTAGTCTTGCTCTGCAAACATCAGCTATGCCTTCCAAGTAGCAATGATGGTGATCGAGTGGGAGAGGGCTGAGGGTCACTCACAGACCAATGGACCAAGAAACAAACCCAGTCGTGTTAAAGCCCCCATAGGGGTTTCATTTGTAAACAATCCCCTTCTGCTCTCTGAAACCAGGCACTCACTTTCACAGCACCATCCTGAACAGGTCAGGCTTCATTACTACAGGTGTTTCTTCCCCACCAGATGTGAGCTTGTGAGATGCCAACACTTTGTTTTCATCACCTCTGCATCCCTGAAGACTAATCCCACCTCTGATACATATTAAGCCCTAGGTGAGTATTTGCTGACTCAGGAAAGATGCAGAATGAGCCTTACCACATCAATTGCATCCTATAGCAAGCAGAACAAGTCACCTCTCCTGCAAAGAGCAGGAAGCGGCACAGAAGGGACCACGGAACTGGCTGCAAGGTCTAGTTGTCCACCATCCATACACCTCTTAGCCCCCTCTTGCCTCTCCCTGAGGTCCACATCCACCTTCCCAACAGGCTCAGAAAACCCAGAGCCCCACCCTACCTCACTGGGATGTTCTAATTAGAGCCCAACACACAGGTGTTAAGTTACCTTTAAACTGAGCTGATCTGCAGCTGAGATTTCTAGATAAAAACGTTTGGGCAGCCGCCCTGCTACCACCCTTCTGCGGAAGAAGCAGCAACAGCTCGCTCCTCCCCAACTAAATGCATTTGCTCAACCATCCGTTCAAAAGAAATCACCGTTCTTTTCCTTGCGCTAAAACCAATCCATAAACAAATCCTCTGAGTCCCTAAGATATAGCTTCCACGCCCGCGGAAGGAGCCCTCCACACACAGAAACACACACAAACCCCAGCCCAGAGCCAGCAGGTGTAAGCATGTATTTAATCTGTTCTTAAGAACAAATCAACAGCAACAGCAGCAGCAAAATCAGAAGCATATGGAAACCGAACTGTAAATGCCAGTAGCCTAAGTTCCAAAACTATTTACGGCGCTAATAGTTCACCTGGTTTCACTCACAACCCTTGAGAAAGCAATGGTTAACGGAGCGCGCAGCTGTAAGCAACAGCAAGTGCTTGCTCGTCGGAGCGCTGTTTTCCAAGACTCTGCTGTCTTTTGCAGCTTTTCCTATAAACCGCACCTAGCGGTCTGAGCGTGTGTGTTTCAACGTTGGCAGGCCCGGGAGCCCAGGTCTGCACTCCCCGCAGCAATGATCGCCGTCCCCTACCTGGATGGCAATGCGCAGCAAGCCGGATGGCATCCAAGCAGCGAGCGTCCGCCTGGCAGCTGTGGCTAGCACTGGGGCAATCCGGGCGGGTGCCACACCTGCACCGCCGCGCCCATGCCGCCGCCGCCACCGCCACCCGCCACTGCGCTGCACGCAGCGCGCCCCCGCCCCCCGCAGCAGCCCGGCCAGAGGCTCCTGGGTCCTGTATGCAGCAGGATCAGAGCCTAAGCCTGGCGCCGGCTGTATTCACTGCAGGAAGCTCTTTGCTTCTAAACACCCTTCGGATTGAAGGCAGGAGTTGATAGGGAAGAGAAGGGGAGCCAGCGCCCACCCCCCCACACACTCCATCCCCAGCTCTCTGGATTCACAGATGGCCAGAACTGCAAACTTATTTCATTAGATTTAGTCCCAACTGATTGTGATTATCTCACTCTCTCCACCACCCGCGCTGCTAACTCCAAGCGCCCTCCAACTCCGAACTAGGCTATGTCAGAGAACAAGGTTCTCCTTCCTGAGCAGGAATCCTAGGATGATACCATCCCATTATGCCACGAAAAAAAGATGGATGTTAAGAAATCATTCCAGCCTTGTTAACTCCTCCGGAACTGAAACGAACATGTTTGTCCCTTGGGAGGACGGAGGGAGGTTACGCATAGAGGACACAGGCCACCGACTCTGTTCACACACCAATCAGCCCAGTGACTTTTTCCAAGCATAGGGCTCCTCTTAGAAAGAAGTAAAGAACAACAAAATCGCTCTCAAAATTCAGACCCTAAATCAAACTACCCTACAGGTGCGGGCCTCCTCTATGGTCTGGAGACAGCTCCTTCCCTAATCAGGTGAAATGGAAGCAAGTCCTGAAGGATCCTGTCTCATCCCCATCCAGCGCTTCTGCCATCCCAAGGTCTTTCTTCCCTTCCACCACGTCTTTCTGGCTCCAGTGTGCTGCTCCTAGTTCGCTGCCCCTTCCTTGGCCCAGGCCTGACAGTGGAAAGCAAAGGCTTCCCTAGTCCCCCTTCCAGAGTCATTCCCTAAACTGTAAGTCTAATCTTTATCCCTTCCTGCTCAGCTTTCCTAAAAACACTCCAACTCCCATTTAATGATCAAAGAGCAGTTTCCTGCTGACCCCAAAGTTTCAACTCTCCACTCTCTCTTTTCCCCTCTACTCCAGCCATACTACTAATTATTTCCTTTTTTGAGACAGGGTCTCATGAAGTGGAGACTAACCTTGGACTTGCCATGTAACCTAGGATGACCTGAGCTCACAGGCCTGGGTCACCACACCCAGCTTCATTTGGTACTGGGATCAAACTCAGAGCTTCATGTACGTTAGGTATGCACTTGACCAAATGAGTCCCATATTAAATTATTTTTTTAATATTTTACTTTTTTAAATTTTATGTGTGGGCATGTATTGCTTGCGTGCATGTAAGTGCAATTCCCACAGAGGTCAGAGGAGGGCTGGAGTGACAGTCGGTTGTTAACTGCCATGTTGGTGCTGGGAACCGAACCAAGGTCCTATGCAAGAGCACCCAGTGCTTTTAACCACTGTGCCATCTCTCCGGTCCCCCTCCCCATACTAAATCCTTAACTCTTCAAATATGCCTCATTCTTTCACCTCCCTTCCTTTGCACATTCTGTTCCTTCCAGTTCCTTTTAGCACCCTCTCCCCACCCCAGCCAATGCTTCACAGTTCACACCTGAGCCATCCATTCCTCAGGGAAAAAGTTAAGAAGAAAAGGGGGGAGGAACTGAGGACAATATGCTTCATTTACTTGATGCATCATTTACTTGATGAAAATGCCCTTATATAACCCAATAACATATACCTGAGTAAACACCAATGCTTTTTTAATATTTTATTATTTTTATTGTATGTGTATGAGTGTATTACCTTCATGTATATAAGTGCACCTGTGTCGTGCAATGCCCACGGAGGTCAGAAGAAGGCTTCAGATCCCCTGGAACTACATGTTAGCCACCATGTGGGTGCTGGGAACCAAACCCAGGTCCTCTGCAATAGGAGCCAGTGCTCTTAACTATTGAGCCATCTCTCCAGCTTCCCCCACCAGAAAAAGATTTTTTCAAAAAACAAAAGTGTTTCTCCCTCACTCAGCAATGGTTAATTGCTTCATGAGGAGTGGGGCTTCATGAGCCCCCTCCCTCTCATTTAAGATGTTATTAATTTTGTATAATCATTTGACTTACTGAATAGCGAGTTCTTTGTGTGTGTCTGTCTTTAGGATGTGTGTGTGCGTGCGTGCGTGTGCAAATGTGTGTTTATGTGCAAGTATATGTAGAGGCCAGAGGGTATAGTCTTCAGTTTTACATATGAGTTATACGTATGAGTGTATTGCTGCATGTGTGTAAGTGTACCGGTGTCAGTCAATGCCCACAGAAGTCAGAAGAGGACATAAGATTTTCTAGAACTGGAGTTATGCATGGTTGCAAGTCATCATGTGGGTGATGGGAACCAAACCTGGGTCCTCTGCAAGAACAGCCAGTGCTCTTAATTACTGAGCCATCCCTCAAGCCCCAAAAGTTATTTTTTAAAAGAACACAAATAAGTAGTAAAAAAAAAAAAAAATTAGAGCCAGGAGTGGTGGTACATGCTTTTAATGCCAGCACTTAGAAAGAAGCAGGCAAATGTCTGTGAGATTGAGGTCAGCATGGGCTACACAGCGAGTTCCAGACCAGCTGGGACTACAGGGAGACCTTTGTTCCCCAAAAATACAAAATTTAGAAAATAGCACAATACCTATAAATAGATAATTGTGTAAATAAATTATTGTAGTAATATTTTTTAAAATACCACTGGAGAAAATAAATAACCACCTGCAAAAGAATGAGATTGGATCTTGCCCTTACACCATATACAAAAATTAACTCTTAATGAACTAAAGACCTAAACGAGGAGTTAAAACCATAAAAGCCCTATAAAACCTCACAGCATTGCATGTGGCAATTATTTCTTGGATATGATCCCCAAGAGAATTCTAAAAATAAATTTTATCAATATGCCTGTAGTCCCAGTTGATAGATAAAAAGTAGCCGTATGACGAGTAGAGTTGATCAGGATGAAGCACCAGGACACAGATAAAACTCCATCAGAATAGAGTTTATTAGCAAAGGAACACATGGGACAGAATCCCTTCTGGGCAGGGAAAAATGTCTGCCTGGGTCGTGAGCTGGAGTCTTTTTAAGGGGGGAGGTTTCTGCTTCCTGCAGAAGACAGGAAGATGTATTTTTTTTAAGTTGTTGTGGGGGAGTGGGAGAGCTGGACTGTTAAAACCTGTTCTCTTCAGAGATCAAAGGGGAAGCCTGCTGTGTTGGCCAAACAGTGGAGAAAAGCCTGCTTCTCCAGACTTCAAAGACCAAGGTGCTTATCAGCTTGGTTCCCTTTTCTCAAGAGCATGAGAAGTCCTTGAGATCCTGTTGGTGAGGGGGCAGGGCTATCTGAACCCTAACACTAGCATTCAGGAGCCTGAGTCAGGAGGATCTCAAGTTCAAGGATAGGAAAATCTAATCTCAAAAACAAACAAAAACTCTTGCATGTTAAAGCATGGGGGTGTTGCCTATGTGTGGTAACCATGGAGACTGTCAGATGTCCTGCTCTACCATTCTCTGTCTTATTCCTTTGAGACAAAGTCTTTCATTGAACCTGGAGTTTGGCTGGTGATCAGCAAGCCCCAGGATCCACCGTCTCTACCTCACCACATCAAGGTTACAAGTGTACCCTGCCCCTAGCTATTTTTTCACATGGGTTCTGGGAATTCAAACTCAGGTCCTCATGTTTATGTAGCAAGTGCTCTACCTGCTGAACCATTGCCTCAGCCCCTAAAAACTCTATTCTTTTTATTTTGTGTTCAGGTGGTGCTTTAACAGATTTTCTTGAACATCCGTAGTGAAAGAACAAAAGTGGGAGACAGAAATAGGAGTGTACAAAGTAAATGAAAGAGAGAGGGGGGAG